GAAATATTGATTTTTTTCCCTATTCAATGTAGTTGAGAATACTAACTAATGCACAGACTGAATACATGAAAGTTTGTTTTAATTATTTCATTTACAAACTGCACACTGCTCTGTTGTTATCATGTTACTCTCATTTGCTTTGCAGTATTGACCACTTTGTGGATTTTACAGAAACGTTTCTCTATTTTATGAAACAACAGACCCTTTTGGGTTCTTAAGGGAATGAATAAAGTACCTTGATGGTCCACATATGCTCTGGAGTTTAACACATGTACCCGTTTCTATTGGCAGATTGAAACCTGTTACCTCCTCAAATTATTTCAGTTCTATTCAGTTTATTTCTATAGCTCCAATTCACATCATGTCATCTCAGGTCACTTTCCAGTTCACCAGATCATCCAGTCAGATTGATTCAAAGTTTTCTGTCTAAGGAAAACCAGCTGATTGAAGCTGATTGAAGCTTAACATTTAAATAATTTCTAAATGTAAAAATTGTCTCAGATGAATTTTAGTCAGTGTCTAAATGAGTGATTTAATGTATCTAATTTTAAAGTGCAGATGGATGGCACTTCATCAGACAAACCAATCTCGATATAAACATAAAACTCAGTCCGTTTAATCCATACATGCAATTTTTTTTCCGAAATGAACAAACATTTCAATATAATCCTTTCTATATTTTTTGGAAAAAAAAAGAAGAAAATTAAAAACAATCCATTGGACTTTGTTTCCAAGTTTGAAGACATTTAGCTTCCCATCCAGGAAGCTTTTTCTATTCAAAATGTCAGGAATAGCGTTGAGTTCCAGGCTTTATACAGGTTTCAGGTATTACAGGAGACAGTCCCCCCCTTAACGGCAATCCCCCCCTTTTAATGACCAACCTTCAGAATCATAGAAAGGTTTCAGATATTACAGGCTAACAATGGAACCAAACGACCCGTTCATCGGTTACCATTTGCATGTTTCCAAGCGATACAAGGCCTGATCTAAAGACTCAAACTCACTGCGGATCCAGATATTAAAATTGAGAAAGCTTCCTGGAGAGGTGGAGAAACGTCTTCAGATCTTGGAAACCAAGTCCAGTGGATATTTTTTATTTTTACGGAATGTATGTTATATTTGACAAAATTAGTATTTTAGGGTTTGTCAAGCTTTTGCATTAATGTTAAAAACTAATCCTAACAGAACAAATTATTAAAAAATACACACTCAGCATAGAGTTGATTATCTACTGCCTGCAATTCCTCCCCCTAAACAAACTGGTTGTAGCAATAGAAAGCAAACCTCCTTTTAATAAGTCACCTTGTTTGTTCAGCTAACAGTGACAGACTCACTCTGTTACATTGCTGTTTGTTTCCATGTAAAGCTTTTAAATGTGGTCTGATCCCTGAAGATCCATCTATGATGTCAGCAGTCAGTGGCTGTGATTGGGCTTATCTATGACTTTATGCCCTGATCAGTGTTTAATTGAGATGGTTCAGAATGTAACAACCTTCTATTGCTTTAAAGGAAAAGTTCGGTCAGCAAGGAATAATCAGTCGTTATCTATACCTAAACTAATACGTTTGCAGTGATTTAATGAATTTAACGTTAATCAGTAAAAAAATAAAAATATTTTTTTATTATGATCAGTGAGTCTGGGAGCTGCTTGTAACACATCTTGTTTTGGTCTTCAGGCTGTGTTCAACAGCCCACCTAGTGGTGACATTTCTCCTGTTGCTCCTGGTATTTTAAAGAGTTTATGATGCCACTCAATGTCAAAATGTTCCCAGATCCTCTGCAAGAAAAACACCATAGATCCTACATCATGTCTGGGCGCCGGGGGCTTTTCCTCATATTATCCTGTATTTAAAGGAAAGATTCGGTCATATTCCGAATTCAAACTTCTGAAAGTTCTTTAAATCTGAAATGATTCCATCCTGTTCAATAAATGATCAGTGTTTTTAACTCAGAGTAATTTCCATGTGAATGTGCTTTACTGGAGGCATCCATGTTTGTCAAAGAACACTACTGCCACCTACTGGTTAGTGACATTGTCACGGTGCGGTATCGGCTGTTGATCAAGTCCCAGTGCTGTATCTGGTGTTTGTCACAACGCGCTATTATCCAAGTCATCTTGAAAACATTCTTCTTCCAAATGTTGGCTACATATTACGGGTTTTTTCTCTGGCCAGAAGTTCGATGGCAAATCCTCCCTCTTCAAGTTGGCGATCCAACGACCAACCCGTCCGTGGAGGATCAGGAATCAGAAAGGTGGAATAACTCTTTTTTTTCACTTTTACCCGATGTATTCCAGCATCCAGCTGCCATGCACGTGGGCATTGTCAGTTTCACTATAGCTCTGGTGAATTTCAATGGTGAAGTCCTCTGGAAATCTTCAATAATTGTTGTTGATTGCAGATGTGTCTAGTAGTTCCCATTGATTTAGCTTGGAAAGCGGGGAGAATGGCGCTAGGCTTACCGCACCGTGACGTCACTGCTGGAAGATGGCAGGAGGGAGGGGCTACTATATTTGGGCAAAAATGGCTGCTCCCAGACTCAATGATGGCGATGAAAATTAATGCTAAATTCATTAAATGACTGCCAAGGTATTAGTTTTAGGTATAGATAATGATCCATTGATCATTACTTGCTGACCTGACTTTTCCTTTAAAGAGCCGCATGCAGCACTGGAGCTGCAGCTTGCTGACCCTGATCTATACGGGTCACAACAGATAAACAGACATAATCCACCTTCACTCATGTTCATCTTACCATATTGTTTTCCTTTTTTCAAATTGTCTTTGTTGAAGCAAATGATAAGATAATCGCAATAAGGAATACGGTTCGCTTTTTTGTGGATAAACATATACTTATGCAGGTATAACTTCTACTACATACACACAAGTAGTGTGTAGTCACACCTACTACATATACAAACAACAAAAACAAAAGAAAATAAGAACAATAAAAGGAGAGAACAAAACACCTCATTCCCACCCTGTCTCAGCCCAACATGTTCAGCAGAAAAATAAAATTATTAATAATAATAGAAAAAAAAAAGCATCAGCAAAATACAGCAACGGGCACATACACTCACCGGCCACTTTATTAGGTACACCTGTCCAACTGCTCGTTAACACTTAATTTCTAAGCAGCCAATCCCATGGCGGCAACTCAGTGCATTTAGGCATGTAGACATGGTCAAGACAATCTCCTGCAGTTCAAAGCGAGCATCAGTATGGGGAAGAAAGGTGATTTGAGTGACTTTGAACGTGGCATGATTGTTGGTGCCAGAAGGGCTGGTCTGAGTATTTCAGAAACTGCTGATCTACTGGGATTTTCACGCACAACCATCTCTAGGGTTTACAGAGAATGGTCCGAAAAAGAAAAAACATCCAGTGAGCGGCAGTTCTGTGGGCGGAAATGCCTTGTTGATGCCAGAGGTCAGAGGAGAATGGCCAGACTGGTTGGAGCTGATAGAAGGGCAACAGTGACTCAAATACCCACCCGTTACAACCAAGGTGGGCAGAAGAGCATCTCTGAACGCACAGTACGTCGAACTTTGAGGCAGATGGGCTACAGCAGCAGAAGACCACACCGGGTGCCACTCCTTTCAGCTAAGAACAGGAAACTGAGGCTACAATTTGCACAAGCTCATGGAAATTGGACAATAGAAGATTGGAAAAACGTTGCCTGGTCTGATGAGTCTCGATTTCTGCTGTGACATTCGGATGGTAGGGTCAGAATTTGGCGTCTACAACATGAAAGCATGGATCCATCCTGCCTTGTATCAACGGTTCAGGCTGGTGGTGGTGGTGTCATGGTGTGGGGAATATTTTCTTGGCACTCTTTGGGCCCCTTGGTACCAATTGAGCATCGTTGCAATGCCACAGCCTACCTGAGTATTGTTGCTGACCATGTCCATCCCTTTATGACCACAATGTACCCAACTTCTGATGGCTACTTTCAGCAGGATAATGCGCCATGTCATAAAGCTGGAATCATCTCAGACTGGTTTCTTGAACATGACAATGAGTTCACTGTACTCAAATGGCCTCCACAGTCACCAGATCTCAATCCAATAGAGCATCTTTGGGATGTGGTGGAACGGGAGATTCGCATCATGGATGTGCAGCCGACAAATCTGCGGCAACTGTGTGATGCCATCATGTCAATATGGACCAAACTCCCTGAGGAATGCTTCCAGCACCTTGTTGAATCTATGCCACCAAGAATTGAGGCAGTTCTGAAGGCAAAAGAGGGTCCAACCCGTTACTAGCATGGGGTACCTAATAAAGTGGCCGGTGAGTGTATATATAGTTAGGTAGGAGCTCCAAATTTGAAAAATAAGAAAGAAAGCGCTGCAATTTTTGGAAAAAAAATGTCTCTATATCCTCTCATTGTATATTTAATTTTCTCTAGTTTAAGGAAAAACATCATGTCCTTAAGCCACTGGGCGATGGAGGGAGATCTAGTAGACTTCCAGTGTAATAATAATGAACGTCTTGCAATTAGGGATATAAAGGCTATAATATCTTTTTGCATTGAATTTAATACAACCGAGGAATTACAAATTCCAAATATGGCAGTCAGTGGACAAGGCTGCAGATTAACTTTGAGAATAGCAGACATAACTGTGAAGTAACCAAACCAAAAAGCAGCCAGGTCAGGGCAAAAAACAACAACATATGACTAAGACAATCCTGACATTTATCACATCTGTCTTTTGAAAACATTATTTTGTCACTTTTAAACAAAATGTATACCAAATTACAATTTCAATGTTTAGAGATTGAATATTTTTTTGTGCCACTAATAATGTCCTGAAAGAACATTCTTCCCAAATGCTTGTTTGAATCTTGACCCCTTTCCACATAAATGCAGCCTAACTGGTGTCTTAGAATAATTCATTTGTGAATGCAAAACATTTGTCTTACAGGATGCACACCCACAGCCCACATCACGCTGCGGGGGAAGTACTGCTTTCTCTGTGAAACCGCAGTGAGAGGTTCATAAACAGCAACATATGAGAAACCGTTTTAGTACATGCATGGTGCTCCTACACAATGAGGCTTCTGGCCAGCTCTCTATTGTTGCTGTGTCTTTCTGCCTATTCAGGTAGGTTATTTTTTTCTTTATTTACAGCATCTTTCAGAGTTAAAACAGCCACTGTATGACTCTGACCTTGAGGCTGTTGGTGTGTTTTAGTGGCAGAGGGCACCGTCATCTCCAAAGAGCCTGGTGAGAGCATCCATTTGACATGTTCTTCTGAGGAATGTCCAACATACAGCAATGAATACCATTATCTGTATCTTTATTATACAATTGATGAGGAGGCAGAGGTGGTATTCTCAAATATCAAATCAGAAAGGTTCTCTCCACGAGGAAAGTATGAGAGCAGGACCAAGCTGGACATACATAACCGGACCATCACCCTCAGCAACCTGACAGCGAGCGATACCGGCATCTACAAATGTGTTTACAAGAAATCTAGTACAGAAAAGATCACTTGCAGCGTCTATGCAGTTTTCATCACAGGTTTGTTTCCCCCATTCAGTTAACAACTTTTATGTTTTCTGTACAAAGTGTAATAACTGTAATAAACCTGCATTTTAAACATTTTGTTAAACAACAAATCGGTTTTAAGAAACACAGACGCTGGAAGAAAAGGAGAGATTTTCTGTTTACTCAGCAGTTCTAGTCCGGGGTTATCAAACGCATTTATATATCAGGACAATTTCTCATCATCAAGTCTTTCAAAAGATCGACTGCAGCTTTATAAATGAAGCTTTTGATTTGGTTTTTCATTTACAAAGAGCAAAATGCTCCAGTATTTACTACTTTACTCCAGTTTACTTCACAGCTTAACGGACTTTTACTTTTAAAATATGATGCCTCTACTTTATAACATGATTGACCCTTATTTTGAATTTTGAGGGTCAGATTAGTTGCTATAAGGGTTCATTTTGGCCAACGGGCCTTGAGTTTTACATGTGTTTCAGTGTGATTCCAGATTTGTGATTTTATGTAGTTTAAAATGCTATACAAATTACCTCCCAAGCACAGAGCAGGAGAGTTTAACATAGATCTCATGATTTGAGGTATGAATCACATGATAATGGTTCCTATTGCCAATTTAATTATAACATAAAAGGAAATAACAACTGCAAGTTGAATTGAGTCCCAAAATGTTTATTAAGCCAAAGAATGGAAAGGATAAAGTTCAAAAGGAAGAGATTTGTCCTTTACTGGCTGATTAAAAAAACAATAAATCTAAAGTATCATTAGAAAGTAGAGACAATTTGTTACAATTCAGTTTATTTCTATAGCTCCAATTCACATCACGTCATTTCAAGTCACTTTTCCAGTTCACCAGATCATCCAGTCAGATTGATTCAAAGTTTTCTATCTAAGGAAAACCAGCTGATTGCATCGACTCATTGACTCTTCAGCAATCCCTCACACTAAGCATGCTTGTAGCGACAGTGGAGAGGAAAAACTCCCTTTGAACAGGAAGAAACCTCCAGCAGAACCAGGCTCAGTGTGAGCGGCCATCTGCTGAGGCCCACTGGGGTTCAAGGAGACAGAAGCAGACATAGAAAAAGAAGCATAGTTACAAAAGGTAACTGTCAACCAGCTCCACAGGCGGCCCCGTCCAGGAAACACACAGCCAGGCAGACGAGCTCCGAGCCAGCTCCCATGTCAGAGGATGAAGAGAGCACATCCAGTTAGTCACAGTCAGAGAAACAGGACTACACTGGAAAACAGGCCAAGCTCCAACATCTAGAAACAAAGGTGTTGATGGCAGCAGCACAGCTGATATTTCTCTCCAGGATGGAGTCACAGCCAAACAGGAACAGACCAGATGAAGCTACTATGAGAAAAAGCAGAGAGAGCAGAAGGTTAGAGATTGAACTAACAGATTCTGCAGAGTGGGAGAATAGAGATAGAATGAAGCAGAATGATGAAAAAGGGGTCCCTATGTCCTCCAGCAGTCTAAGCCTATAGCAGCAGAACTATAGAGATAGCTCAGGATAACCTGAGCCACTCTAACTATAAGCTTTATCAAAAAGGAAAGTTTTAAGCCTAGCCTTAAAGTAGACAGGGTGTCTGCCTCACGGACTAAAACTGGTAGTTGGTTCCACAGGAGAGGAGCCTGAGAACTAAAAGATCTGCCTCCCATTCTACTTTTAGAAATTCTAGGAACCACTAGTAAACCTGCAGATTGAGAGCGAAGTGCTCTGAGGCAAACTTAATATTATCAGCGTTCTGATGGCATTTTAGTGAAAGGATTTTTATCAAAAACAATTAATGTGCACAAATGAAGAATAGCTGTATAAACCATACATGTAAAACGAGTTTTATGGGGCCTCCAGGAACTTGGGGCCCTAGGCAACTGAGTGCTGGGTCAAAATCTGAATAACAAAAGTAGTAGAAAAAGAAGTGCATTTTTATTAATTTTAAGACAAAAAGACACCCTGAACTTGGAGTCTATTAATACCATGTGAAGCATAATATTAAAGAGGATTTTGTAGCTCATGTCTGCATTGATTATCCACAGAAAAGACTCCATGTTCCACCGTATCTCCCGCCGTCGAGCCAAGTCCAGTCCTGATGTACATCATTTTTGTCTGCATCATCAGTGTGCTGGCCATGTGGATCCTCATGCTGCTGATCTTACCAAAGGTAAATGTACCTCTTTGCATAACAGCCTCTGCCTGTTCTTACTCATGCACGTTTTATAACGGAACAGAGCCTCAAAGCCCATCATCAGATATGTTCTCTGTAACCCATTTTTCAGCCTATCACATAGCACCATCTGCCATTGCATCAGCCTTGGCAAGATGGCGAGCAACCCCACACTCAAGTACAGATAAGATTTAAACCACCGGGGCTCTTTTTACATAGAAAATGCACTTGTGGCTTTTCTGACTTTACAGTGGCCCCATTTGTTTTTTCCACTACTGCTGTCCAACTTGTGCAACCTTCTTTGACTTTAACTTGAAGTGAGATTCATTATCAATGAACAGCATCAAGCACTGCAGCAAACATACCACTGATATCTATTCCTTTATAAAAGGGTTTCTGCCCTTTCACGTTTCACATTTTACCATTTAACACCCTTCCTTTATGTATTTGTTATGATCGTGTGCAACAGAAAAACATAAAGTCATACAGGGTTATGTATAGTAGAAAGAAAAGGACACATGGCCAGTTTAAGCGCCTGCGGATCAGGTTGCCGAGGTCTCCGCCTCTGGCTGCCACCCAATCCTCTTTGCACTGGTCCCTCATGGTTCCCCCTGGAGGTGGTGGGCCCCACCTTAGTATCTTTGAGGCGTCCGGCGACTCCGGAGGGGAAAGCAGTGCTTCGCTAACACTGTTTTCAGTGGGAGTGGGGAGCTGCTGACCTTGAAGGAGGATATTGTCGGACGGTGGAAGGAATACTTCGAGGATCTCCTCAACCCGACAGACACGCCTTCCGTGGGGGAAGAGTGACCGGGTGCTAGGGGGCTGGATTCGTTCATCTCCCAGGCTGAAGTCACCGAGGTGGCCAGAAAATTCCACGCTGGCAAGGCTTCGAGGGTGGACGAAATCCTGAGTCTCTTAAAGCTCTGGATGTTGTCGGGCTGTCAGGCTGTCATGGTTGACATGTCTCTTGAACATCGCATGGTGGTCGGGGACAGCTCCCCTGGATTGGCAGACTGGGGTGGTGGTTCCCCTCCATAAGAAGAGGGACCTGAGGGTTTGTTCCAACTATCGGGGAATCACACTTCTCAGCCTCCCCGGAAAGGCCTATGCCAGGGTGCTGGAGAGGAGAGTCCGGCTGATTGTCGAACCTCGGCTGCAGGAGGAGCAGTGTGGTTTTCGTCCTGGCCGTGGAACGGTGGACCAGCTCTACACCCTCTGCAGGGTGCTTGAGGGTTCTTGGGAGTTTGCCCAACCAGTCCACATGTGTTTTGTGCACTTGGAGAAGGCATTCGACCGTGTCCCTCATGCCGCCCTGTGGGGGGTGCTCCAGGAGTATGGAGTGGGGGGCCCTTTATTAGGGGCCATCCGTTCTCTGTACAAGCGGAGCAGCAGTCTGGTTCGCATTGCCGGCATTAAGTCGGACCTGTTCCCAGTGCATGTTGGACTCCGACAGGGTTGCCCTCTGTCACCGGTCCTGTTCATAACCTTTATGGACAGGATTTCTAGGCGCAGCCAAGGACCGGAGGGGGTCTGGTTTGGGGACCAGCGGACCTCCTCCCTGCTTTTTGCGGATGACGTAGTTCTGCTGGCTCCCTCCTGGCAAGACCTACAGCGTGCGCTGGGGCGGTTTGCAGCCGAGTGTGAAGCAGCCGGGATGAGAATCAGCTCCTCCAAGTCCGAGGCCATGGTTCTCGACCGGAAAAAGGTGGCTTGTCCCCTTCAGGTTGGAGGAGAGTCCTTGCCTCAAGTGGAGGAGTTCAAGTATCTTGGGGTCCTCTTCACGGGTGAGGGAAGAATGGAGCGGGAGATCGATAGACGGATCGGTGCGGACGCTGCAATAATGCGGACGCTGCACCGGTCTGTCGTGGTGAAGAGAGAGCTGAGCGAAAAGGCAAAGCTCTCAATTTACCAGTCGGTCTACGTTCCTACCCTCACCTATGGTCATGAAAACTGGATCATGACCGAAAGAACGAGATCCCGGATACAAGCGGCTGAAATGAGCTTTCTCCGCAGGGTGGCTGGGCTCTCCCTTAGAGATAGGGTGAGGAGCTTGGTCATTCGGGAGAGGCTCAGTGTAGAGCCGGTTCTCCTCCACAGTTAGTTGAGGTGTCTCAGGTACATCCCACAGCAAGGAGGCCCAGGGGACGAGCCAGGACACTCTGGAGAGACAATGCCTCTCGGCTGGCCTGGGAGCGCCTAGGGCTTCCCCCAACAGAGCTGGAGGAGGTGTCAGCGGAGAGGGAAGTCTGGGAGTCTCTGCTAATTCTGCAGCCCCCACAACCCGGTCCCGGATAAAGCGGGAGATGACGAGTACGAGTACTAGTATGAGGACACATGGCCTCTTAATTTTAAACGTGTGGTTTTAAGAACCACTTCCTCATTCCTTGTAATTACAGCTGCAACCTCTTTTGGGAAATATCTGCATACAAACTAATAATTGATAACTTTTAAAGGTATTGTGGAGGATAATAAATGATCGGCCCTCTTTACTTAAGAAAAAATGCACACACACAACCCTGTAACCGCTCTAGAGAAGCAAAGGCTATTTAATGGGTGTGAGAGCATGCACGAGCCCATTTCTCCTCGTGCACACAAGCTTATTGTGTCCGAACATCCGCCCTAACCCCTAAATCCCTCAGTCACTATATAGAGCGAAGAGTATATACTGGACTTTATAGTGAACTCAGTTAGCTGACCATTCGATCAGATGATCATTGTTTTTTACTCCCTGTTGGTCCTCTTTCTCCTCCTCCACTGCGTGTTGCCTGCGCCATATTTGTTATTAGTCACTGCTGTCATGTAGCGACAGCCTGCGGCGACAGCGGGCCGCTGTGACAGCAAATCCCACAATACTTTGCGAGGAGAGCTCTCTGTGCAAAGCATTCTTTCTTTTCTTCTCATTCACTTTGTAGACACTTTTTCTCCATTTTCAAAGAACTGCAGTCAGAAAGGTGAGCTTCAATGACTGTCTGAACCCGTAGCTCACCACAGATAAAGTAGGACGGTCTTACGTAAACACATCACCAGAATGATTGACAGTTAGGAGAACCACTTATTAAGATGATCCATCCGGAAATAAAAGATCGTCTTCTATAACTTTAATTTGTAAATATGCTTTGATCTAAGCCTGCATACTCTTTGTGTTTGCAACATGTAGTAATGACAGCATATTAAAACAAAGTTTTCTCTGACACCTGCAGGTACAACAGCGGTTCATAAAAAGAAGAGCGATGCATGCCCATCAATCCTCTGCTGACAATGTGTACGAAATCATGAGGCGGGAAGAGGGAGCTCAGGTCGCAGCTCCGATTGGACTGGTTTAGAAATGAATTCAATGTATTTTGAGCGTGGTGTTCTTTGTCTTTATTGTTTTTAAAGTTTTTGATTTTTAATTTATATTCTAGAATTGAAATATTATTGAACTGTAATGTCTTTCTGGATAAAAAAAAATAAAAAAGCAATTTCAAATGTTTATCTACAATGCAAACTACAGCCGTTTGAAGGTCACATTATTGGCTTATACACAAAAGCCGAAAAACCATTAGATCTTGATAACATGAGGCTGTATACACAAAGCGTCCCTCCTGACAGGGATTTGATAGTCCTGAGCCTAAATAGATTTCCAGCATGGGCTAACCTGGTATAAGTTCAATTTGAATTATTTACACTATCCCTATAGAAAAGTAACCTGACTCCGCCAGATGGATTTGCTCCGCATATCCATCTGGAAACCTTCCGTTGAAGTAATATTGGGAAGGGGCAAAAATACTAGTTAGCTGATTGGCCTATGTTGGTGATAGACGGGCCAAATAAACCAATCAGATCAACGAAGCATATGACGTACTAACAGAGCGACGACGAAGAGGAGCCAATTGATAGATCAAACTCTTGCCGAAACCAGTCGGGAGAAGACCAAAAACATCTTTTCCTCTGAGAAAAGCCTCCAGAGCAGTGTTTTGCTCTTCTTTCAGTGAAGAAATACTCTGTAATTCCGATAAAACTTGCTCGATAGCCACGCTAACGCTAGTTTCATCGGCTGAAGCCGCCATGTTCTTTAGACTGAACTGTCGCGCTTCTCGTTGCATCACTCCTCAACCCGCCTCAAAGCCAACGCTGATTGGACGTTCGTTTGGTGAACGGCTCCAAATTTTCTTTTTACGGAGAGTCTCCAGACTGATCTGCGAGTGAAACCTTGAAAGCTCGCGAGATCAGGATGGTCTCACGAGGCTAAAAGAAAAGGCTCCTGTGGAAAGTGTTCACAAAATGGAGGGAGATTCAGTTCAAATCATTCTTACTACATTTATTGGGTAAATCAAGTTGCACCTGCCTCCCATGTCGAGATTGAGCCGATCGCAGCAGCAGTAGCAGCTGTGACAAATACTATTGATTTGATTCACAAGTAGCAGAGTTAAGCTAACCTGGATATAGCAGCACCAGAGCTTTTTCAGAGAAAAGAGAACGTTACTAAGATATATATATATATATATATATATATATATATATATATATATATATATATATATATATATATATATTAGTGCTGTCAAAATTATCGCGTTATTATCGCGTTAACGCGAGGCCATTTTAACGGCGCTAATTTTTTTAACGTGAGATTAACGCTATGTGGTTTTATGGTACAATTTTCCAAGTACATCCCGCTGCAGCCTGCGGGAAGGCGGGGCTATTTCCCCCCAGTCTATGCATTTTCCATAGGCTTCGAGAGCGGAGCTCCTCAAGGGAAAAAGACGCTCATACACTGGGTGACGCTAGTGCCTTTTCTTTAAGCCCCACCACCAACAAACAAGTTGAGTGTCTGGTGTCTAGTAGCAACCTGAAATACGCTGAGAAAACAGATTACTGAGGTGAAATGGAATCTGCTACGGCACTCTTGCTGTCTGTGTACGCCACAGGTCAGTATCGTGTGTGTGTGTGTGTGGGTGGGTGTGTGTTCTCATTTTTGTTAAGAGGCTGAAAAGTAACTTTCTAGAGCATATACTACCTCCATCTAGTGATGTCGGTCTATTGATTTTGATGTATTGATTGAAAATTGTTCATTATTACCTTGGTTAATTAACATCTAATGTTAACTCTACCACATTTTATAGCAGTAGGGTAAAATGCTTGTCTTTGTTCAAAAGACTGTATTATACGGTGGCTGAGAAGTGCAAAACACATTTACAATTCAAAAACACATTAACAAATAAAAAACAAAATAATATTTGTAGAAACAAAATTATATTTTATGAAACAAATGTATTTTTGAAAAAAAAAGTTAAAATTTTTAAAAACACATTTACAATTCAAAAACACATTAACAAATAAAAAACAAAATAACATTTGAAGAAACAAAATTATATTTTATGAAACAAATGTATTTTTGAAAAAAAAAGTTAACATTTTTAAAAACAAATTCACATTTCAAATAAGTTAGATTTTAGGTGGGAGAAAGTTTCATTTTAGAGAAAAAAAATACATTATAGGGAAACAAATTTACATCTAAAAAAATTGACCGTTCGGAAATACTTGTACAAGTGGAAAGACAAAACTGCAAGCGGCAAAACACAGTTACATAGCCAAAAACAAATTAACAAAAGACGGCTACACAGAAAGGGAATGTCCCAGTGGCCGGATGTGACGTCACGATTACCCTGACTTGTAGTACAGCTCAATCTGTAGTCCTCCTGCTTCACGTGAAAAGTCAGCGGCGATTTTATTATTGTGGAGCAAATTTCAGCCATTAATTCAATTCAATTCAATTCAGTTTATTTCTATAGCGCCAAATTCACAACACATGTCATCTCAAGGCACTTTACAGTTCAACCAGATCATACAGTCAAATCGATACAAAGTTTTCTATCTAAGGAAAACCAGTTGATTGCATTGAGTCATTGACTCAAATACAATCCCTCACACTAAGCATGCTTGTAGCGACAGTGGAGAGGAAAAACTCCCTTTTAACAGGAAGAAACCTCCAGCAGAACCAGGCTCAGTGTGAGCGGCCATCTGCTGAGGCCCACTGGGGTCCAAGGAGACAGAAGCAGAGATACAAAAAGCAGCTGTAAAAGGCGGCCCCGTCCAGGAAACACACAGCCAGGCAGACAAGCTCCAAGGCAGCTCCCATGTCAGAGGACGAAGAGAGCACATCCAGTTAGTCACGGTCAGAGAAACAGGACCACACTGGAAAACAGGCCGATCTCCAACATCTATAAACAAGGGTGTTGATGGAAGCAGCACAGCTGATGTTTCTTTCCAGGATGACGTCACAGCCAAACAGGAACAGACGAGGCAAAGCTACTCTGAGGAAAAGCAGAGAGAGCAGAAGGTTAGAGATTGAACTAACAGATTCTGCAGAATAGGAGAACAGAGAGAGAATGAAGCAGAATGATGATATGGGGGTCCCAATGTCCTCCAGCAGTCTAAGCCTATAGCAGCATAACTATAGAGATAGCTCAGGATAACCTGAGCCACTCTAACTATAAGCTTTACCATTACACAATTACACCATTTTGTTCTTCGTGCGGACGGTCTCTGGAACTTTTACGGGTCACGGACCAGGTGGCAGGACCATCGGAACTGCTGCAACGCAGCCACTGCCACGAATTGAAACTTTCTCTCACCTAAAATCTAACTTATTTAAAATGTGAATTTGTTTCCTAAAATGTAAATTTGTTTTTAAAAATTGTAACTTTTTTTTTCAAAAATACATTTGTTTCATAAAATATAATTTTGTTTCTTCAAATGTTATTTTGTTTTTTATTTGTTAATGTGTTTTTGAATTGTAAATGTGTTTTGCACTTCTCAGCCACCGTAGTATTAACTGTAAAGACTGTCTTTTACATCAGCCTGTTTTCAGGGCCTTTTTTTTGGCTACATATATGTTATTTTTTGCTACATGCCTCCCCATCTTCTTTCCATATGTTTCTATGGCATAAATCAGTGTCTGTGACCTGTTTTCATAAAAAAAAAGAACATTGGCACAAACCTAGCCTGTGTATTTTTTGTATGTCATCGATAGTATTTAAATGATTTTCAATCAGAAAAAAAATGTGTGATTAAAATGCGATTAATCGCGAGTTAACTTAGGCATTGATGCGATTAATCGCGATTAAAAATTTTTTATCGATTGACAGCACTAATATATATATATAGATATATGTAGATATATCTATATATATATAGCTTTTTTGTCTTACATTGTTATTTTTTTCATTCAGGGAACCAAAGAGGCCAAACTTCAACATTCTGCCGTTTACAGAAGTAAAAGAAAACAAAAGCTTAATCTGCAAATCTGCAATTTAGTTTAGAAGTTAGTTTAGAGACCACTGTTGGTGCATTTTGAGGAACTGAAACAGATCTGCTGTAGATGATCGATAGCATGACCACATCTTTAGACAAACAAATGTTATGTTTCCTGTCTGGGTGTAAGAGATATAAGGGACCAGCGTATATTTAGACAGTGAGTCAAAAGGCCATTTAAAGAGGTTTTATTCTCTGACATTTTATGGAAGGACTGGTAAAAGCTTCAAGGAGAGCTCAGGCCAAAATAACAAACAAAGCAACCTTAAAAGGCCTAACTAAAGCCAACATTAAATCACCTACCTGACAAATACACAAACAGGAGAAAACTGGAGTTAAACAAATTGGCAGCTTTTTCCTATCAAAGCTGTCTGAAGACTTTTACTTAGCAACAAATTGACAGAGCATTCAATCCTACACACAACAGCAGGCGTGATGACAGACAAACGGCCCAGAGGCCCTGAGGTGCAGCTTCACAGCCAATAGTGTGCAGGTGATTGCTGATTAGGACTGAGACTCAGGAACTACTGCCCAATCTTAGAGGCGGAGCCTAAAACACAAAAACGTATTACTTTAATGTAAAAACAAAATTACCTCCACCTTGAGAATGTAACCGAATGTTTAGAATTTAGTTTCATTCGCAGCTATCAGACATACAAATGGTTTCTACTGCCATTTTAATTATAACATAAAAGGAAATTTCCAAAAGTAACAACTGCAAGATGAATTGAGTCCCAAAATGTTTATTAAGCCAAAGAATGGAAAGGATAAAGTTCAAAAGGGACAGATTTGTCCTTTACTGGCTGATTAAAAAAACAATAAATCTAAAGTATCATTAGAAAGCAGAGATGAAGGATTCAATTCGTTACAATTCAGATTATTTCTATAGCTCCAATTCACATCATGTCATCTCAGGTCTCTTTCCAGTTCAACCAGATCATCCAGTCAGATTGATTCAAAGTTTTCTATCTAAGGAAAACCAGCTGATTGCATCGACTCGTTGACTCAAAAGCAATTCCTCAAATTAAGCATGCTTGTAGCGACAGTGGAGAGGAAAAACTCCCCATGTTTCATTTTTGCCTTAAAAGTATTCTGTGTAAAAAATTCAGATATGCAACGAAAGAAGATAAATTTCCTCCTTAATCTGTGGTAAT